AGAATAACTGAGGAAGTGCCGCGAGCGGGCTACCCAACACCATGTTGGTGAGGTACGATTTTTCCGTGCTCAGACCGGCTATCAGGTGTTTACTCACCTGCCTCTTGAGTCGCCCTCAAGTAAAAAGTAAAGAAGAATCTACTTCAAAGGTAATGGTGAAAATCAAGCAAACCTGAAGAACTGCTCCACTGCCTGCATAAAATAATAAGATACAAAATGGAAATACATAAATGTAATTGATAATTGTTCTGTCCCATGTAAGTGTTTGGCCTCCAGAACGGACTGGTATTCTGGAAGGAAATAGATATAGTGTAGATATCTTGTGCACGAAAAACCATGAAAACAAAAAAATACTCTTTTGTAATGCATATATGTAAAAGGATGAACTTGGTAGAAGTTGGACTCTTTAATAAAATCGATCAAACGAGTGACCTTGAGCCTGTGATGACCGCGTTTTACAACTAGGTGCGTAACCAAGGGTGCATCAGAATACTCCACAAAACGGAAAAGAATATACGGTTAAGAAGCAAAAAAATTGTGTAGAGTATGCGGATCAAGTACAGTTGTGTCAAATACCCTTTTCTTGTTTGATTTAGGTATGCATGATATATTGAAGCAATATATCGTCAATTCATCCAAGTAACGAATTGGTTTGCACCTCAGAAGTGTGTAAGTCCTATTATTCATTAGTATTATGAGTGATTAATTGGTGTAAGGAAATATTGAAGTCACTTCCTCTGTGGTCTGATGTGGCTTAACGGCTAAGCACGCGGTCTAGCATTCAGGAGGGCAGAGGTTCGAGTGCGTGTGGGGCCTGCGTTTTTGTTCACCAGACCCACCTTCAATACGATGATTGTTGCCCGTAATTCGCGCACATATGAGAGAAAAAATGACAAGAGGACAGATTGATATATCAAAGTGCCATATTGGAAAAGTATAAGTTCTTTGTTTACATTAATATTATTACTATAGAAAAAAAACTACAAGTTTAGTAAATTTCCATTTTACGTTATATATATATCAGTTATTGACATAAAATGTCTTTTTTATAACGCTAATGTCAAGTTCCAGGACTTTGTATGGGCCACTAATAATAATTGGTTTAACGTTAGCATAGTCGTGATATTCACATTGTCAGTTCAATGTTATGATTACTAAACAGTTCCCTTATAAGTTGTGTTTAAAATTAGGTATGTGGAATCAATGCGGCTGACATAGTAACCTTACAGTAACGCACTGTACTATATCTTCACGGTTATTGATTCTTAAATGTCAGAAATTTAAAAAAATCTGAATATTGCCAATAAAGATGGGTTATATGATAACACTAAAAAGCATGCTGCAGGGAAACTGGTTAAGTCATTACGTAAGTTTCCTAAACATGAAAAAAAAATGATGAGAGCTTTAATAAGTACTTGACCATGGTTTAATCCAAAATGTTTTGTCTAGGAAACTACTTATTAATAGTAGTATTAATCGTATCAAGCTACTAAACATATCCTCAACCGAAAACTTTTAGAAGTAGTTCATATGGTATCTATGTATAGCCAGTCTACGTGAAAAATGTATATAAATATATAAGAAGTACAGCCAACATAGTTAATTAACCAGAAAAAGAAATTATAAAACTCGCCTGGGTTGCTTTTTGAATTGGTTGTGTTTGCCAGTGTTAGTTGTATGAGTTTGATTAAAATCCTCAGCCATCGTTTCGGAATACCTAGCTTGTGCCCAGTATTTAAAAAAAATATTTAACATAACACGTATATATCAAAGGTAAACGTTCTGGGGAGTTGTCGGTGAGGCGGAATGAGGAAAAAAAATTATTTTTAAGTAGTTGCAGGGTGTGATTAGCTGCGTGGTTAGATTTTATCCTGCAGCCGAAACTGTCAACATCCTTGACTGACTAATTGGATGTGCCCAGCGAACCGTTTTAGTCATTTGTAAAGATTTATTATCTTTACATTTCGATTCCGCAATGGATTTGTCAGTTAAACGATCTAACAACACGTATGGTGGTTCATGATCTAGATAAGCCGGCTTTAGCCTATCAATACTTACTGTGTCGATGTTTCCATGTTTTTCTATCACGAAATATTTAGATTTTCTTGAGACGACTTTGAAAGGACCTTCAAATGGAGGACTGAGTGGTGCTTTTATTTTGTCACATCTTATCCAGACGTGCGTGCAATTGCTTAGGTCTTTAGGTATATATACGGCGCGCGATTGTTCACGAGTATTAATCGGCTTAAGTTTAGACATGTGGTCCCGTAGTTGATCTACATAATTTTCTAAATTAAGTTTTTGACTGTTAGTATTAGGGTTAATAAATTCACCTGGTAGTCTCAGAGTTGTTCCGAAAACCAGTTCCGCAGCTGAACACTGTGCGTCAGTTTTGACAGATGTTCGTATTCCCAACATAACTAACGGTAGGAATTCTGTCCACTGATTGGGGTTTGAGTGAGATATAAGGGCGGTTTTTAGCTGACGGTGAAAACGTTCTACCATCCCATTAGCCTTAGGATGATATGCAGTGCAGCGTATCCTATTAGAGCCTAGAAGTTTAGCCAAGTTATTAAATAGTTCGGATTCGAATTGCGCTCCTCTATCCGTCGTTATTGTTATGGGTGTACCAAAAATGGTTACCCAGTTCTGCATGAAGACTTTGGCTACTGTTTCTGCTGTGATGTCCGCTATCGGGATGGCTATAGGGAATCTGGTAAATCGATCTATGCATGTAAAAAGATAATTAAAACCGTTTGAACGTGGTAAAGGACCTACCAAGTCGATATGCACATGGGCAAAACGTGCATCTGGTTGCGAGAAAACACCTATGGGTGAATTTGTGTGACGATTAATCTTTGATTGTTGACATGCTGAACACTCTCTAACCCATTTGTGTACATCCTTCTGTAAATTCGGCCATATATATCTGGCATTGATTAGTTTAGTTGAAGCTTTTGCGCCAGGATGAGACAAAGAATGAAAGTTATTATATATCAACTTTCGCATACTTTTGGGAACGAAAGGTCGCGGAATTGCCTTGGTCGTGTCACAGTAGATTAGAATACCATCGACAGGTGATGGGAACTGTTTTAAATTAAGACTTGAATTGTTTGTTTTAAGTAGGTTTTGTAATTCTAGGTCCTGCTCTTGTTCGTGTCTTAACGTCTGGAAGTTTACTGTAGACTGCTGTAGCACGTTCATTTCTAGTCTGGATAAAGCATCTGCCGCCTGATTGTCTTGACCTTTGACATGTCGGATATCGCTTGTGAACTGTGATATATAGTCAAGGTGTCGGACTTCTCGAGGTGAGTATTTATCAGCTCTCGCTTTTAGTGCATTCGTTAGTGGCTTGTGATCCGTAAAGACTACAAATTCCCTACCTTCTAACATGTGTCGGAAGTGTTTAATGGTTAGGTAGATTGCAAGAAGTTCTCGCCCGAAGGTAGAATACCTTGTTTCGGCTGGAGCGAGTCTTTTCGAGAAGAAAGCAATTGGTTTCCAGGCGTTTTTAACCAGTTGGTTAAGGGTACCGCCTACTGCTTTATCTGAAGCATCCACCATCAAAGCAAGTGGGGAAAGAGAATTCGGATATATCAACGTAGTTGCTTGAGCCAGTTTATCTTTAAGCTGTTTGATAGCTTCGATGGCATCAGAAGACAGTTTGAATTCTTTTGGTTTTCCTTTAAGTGAGTCTGTCAAAGGTTGCATTAATTGTGCACAACCTGGTATGAATCTGCGATAAAAGTTAATTAGGCCTAGAAAACTTCTCAGTTGTGTTAGAGAACTAGGTATGGGGTATTGTTTGATGGTATCCACTTCTTTTTTGATAGGTTTAATCCCTTCTGGGCTTATTGTGTGACCGCGAAATTCTAAAGTTTGAACACCGAAAACACACTTACTTTGATGTATGTTTATTCCATGTTCATCCAGTCTTTTCAACACTGCTTGTACATGCTGTTCGTGTGATTGCAAATCGGGGCTGGCAATTAACAAGTCGTCTATATACCCCTGCGCAAATGGCATATCTCGAAGTAGGTTATCTATGAATCTTTGAAATGTCTGTGCCGCATTTCTCAGGCCAAATGGCATGCGTACAAACTCGAATAAGCCAAAGGGTGTAGTAATAGCTGTCTTAGGAATATCTTCATCAGCCACTGGGATATTGTGATATGCCCTGACTAAATCAATTTTAGTGAATATTTTCATACCCTGTAAACCGTTGGTGAAATCTTGGATATGAGGTATTGGGTACCTATCTGGTACGGTTTGACGGTTTAGGGCTCTGTAATCCCCGCACGGTCGCCAGTCACCTTCATTCTTCTTTGGGACCATATGCAAAGGGGATGCCCATTGACTATCAGAGGGACGGATAATACCCAATTGTAGCATATAATCAAACTCGGCCCTAGCGATTTTGAGCTTATCTGGTGCTAGTCTCCTGGGTTTTGCAAACACCGGTGCACCTTCGGTTTTGATAGTGTGACTCACTTTTAGTTTGTCCTTAGAAGGCTGTGGGTTTGGTTTAGTTAAGTTTGGAAATTCCGCGAGTATATCTTGGAATTTCGCTGTTGTTACTGGGGGAGTTTGAATCAAGTTAAGAGAGCTGATGTGACTTTCTTTGCCTTTTGTGTAATACGAAGTTTCTTTTAGTGTTAATCGCCGTTTCTTGGTGTCAACTAGAAATTCGTATCTCTCTAGAAAGTCCATCCCCAGTATTGCCAGATCTAAGTCGGCTACCGTGAAAACCCAAGGGAATTGCCTCCTGAACCCCAAATCTAGGGTTAAAGTTTTCTGCCCAAATGTCGCGATTTTAGTTTTATTTGCAGCTTGAAGTGTAATTGATGATGTTTCTCGACTAATCTCAGTTTTATTTTGAGGGATGATGCTAAGAGCAGCGCCAGTATCCACCAAGAAATTCAAGCCCGAGTTTCTGTCTCGAACATAAAACAAGCGACTGTTTAGGCGCCCCTCCTCAGTCGTCGCGACCTGGGGAGGGGTTACTCGTTTCCCGCTGACTTAGAATTATGCTTAGGCCAGGCGCATGGTTGCATGCACTTGGTTGAGTTGACACCAAACTTCCAGTGGTACCAACAAAACTGCCCAGATTGTCTGGACATTTGTGACCTGTTTTGTGACTTGGATCCTGGTCGTTGTGGTGACCTGCTCCTGTTTCTATCACCCATTTGCATTCTGGTGACCGCCTCAGTGAGACTCTTAACACTCGCAATGAGTCCTTCTATTACGGGGTCTTTTGCTGATTCTACTTTTCGTGTGTGATTTATTATGCCTGATCCAGTTGGAGGACCTCTTTCCATTATTCTGTCGGCTATACGCGCTAAATGAGATAATGAGGTTTCAGGATCCTGTGGATCCAAACAGTGTTGGACGTAGCATGGGAGAGCTTGTATCCATCCTTGTTTTAGGACTGCTTCACCCACTGTGTTATCACCCACTAAGACTTGGAGGTGACGTAAAAACTGTGACGGCGACCGATCACCTAGTGTTTCACCTTGAAAAAGTCTTTGGATTCTTTGACTATCTGATAATGATAAACGGTTCATTATCTCTCGTCTTAAGATGGTGTATGGTTGTGGTGATGGTGGACTTAAAATCAAGTCACGGACTTCTTTGGCGACTGAAGGAGGAAGGATAGAACACAAGTCTCTATAGCGAATCCCTTCAGATTTGATATTGTGTCTCGTGAAATAATGCTCTAGTTGAGCAAACCACAACTCAGGATCATTACGATCAAATTCTGGAAGTCGGGATTTCGTAGTCATAACAGTGTCTATCTCCACTGGTGACAAATCCTCCAGATTATGGGTTTCTATTGAGTCTGACATGAGGTATATGACAAATATAGCAATAAAGTTAGCACAAAAAGTGGTTACTATAACACGAATAACTTGAGATAATACGGAATAAACTAGTTATATACTCAAATTAGTTTACGGATAATCAGGTCTACTTTTACGATTAAGTAAAAAAAAAATGTTAATAACAGAAATGAGGTTAAATTTGTGTTCAAAAAGGGCTCACCAATTTCGTGCCTTAAAGTAACCCTCGTGCTATTGATAGAAGAAACCAGAGAAGTAGTGAATAGGTCTTTATTTCGATCTCAGCGCGGTGACAGTGGAGCGTGGGATTATCTGTTCAGACAAACAAAGGCTCTCAACATTCAATATAAGATAATAGGGAATATAACGCTTATACAAAACAAGGAAGTGGATGAATACTTGAACAATACTGTTTTGGCATATGCTTGGTTGTTTGGGGTCAACTCTTAACCAACCAACCTAAGCTGTTACAAGTACATACCAGGGTGACATCTTTTTAATCTTCCTGCATACAAATGGTACGTGTGTCATATTGCTGGGTCCAAGCAGACTAGATTTGATATTTTTAAAGGCAAATGTGTCCGGTATATTAAACACGATTGCATTGCTAGATCGCCTTATTCTTTCAAATACCTCTGATACAACACAATCTAGGAAATTATTTATGTTATTCATTCGATCCAGAGTCTCTGTGAGGTTGAGTTTGATGAGATATTTAAGCGGATTGAGAATGTTCATGTCAACTTGCGACTGTTTTATATCTTCCATATGGTTGCAGTTGCGATTATCATCACTGTTTACCAACGGAGTCTTCAACATGTCTGGAATGGAGACAACTGGTAAAAGTTTGTCTGCTTCCGGATGAACGGAGTGGCTCGTCTCGTTGAAACTGTCGGAAATCGTATCAGTAGCAGTGCTAGATTGTGTCGTTTTCCTACGTTTGGCAGGACGCCTGTAAGCAGGGGTCTTAATTTTCTTTTGTGGCATGATAAGAAACTTACGAATAGCAGATGGATTGAACAAAATTTTGGAAATAGAAATGGATGAAAAAATCCATGCCAATGGCTCAAGTTAGTCTAGAAATCAAAACCTATGCTTTAAGCAAGAGTGGACGTATCGTGAGAATTAGTGAAGATGTCGAAAACAAGAGATGAGAATGGCAGGAAGATAGTGGTGGAGATGTAGTATGTATGTCAGTATCCGTGTGGAGGCAAAATAGAGCATAAAGCAGCTCGTTGTGTAAATTATAACATATACATTACACGGAAAGATTGCCTTATATAATAAAGTAATTTAGAAATGTTGATAATTAGTATCAAACAATCAAGGTGAGTACGGTGTGATACATGTATAAATTGGAAGTCCGCATTAGTAAAAATTGGGAGGTGCAGAGATAAGTAGTTTAAAAGATTATTACCGTCTAAGATTATTATGTTGCCTTATGAACAAATTTATATATGAAAATATGTGTATGAGAACCTCATTTATCTTCTCAAGCACGAATATCACAGACAAGATAGGTGTAGAAGTTGTCCAAAGACGCTCCACATGTCAACTGCTAGGATATGATTCCACTCTCGACTACACAGCTAGATGTAAGCGCTTCTCCTTAAAACCTTTATGGCACCGTCGGTCAAGAAACAATCTAATATTTTTCTACAAAGTAATATATAGTCACTCATTTCTAAATTCCAGCCCAATTGTAATCAAAGACTGCCTACAGACTCAGAAACAATGCATATACACTCCTAACGGTAAAACACCAAAAACCAATGAGTTGTAAGTTTTTCACAGTGCGGTATATTTTATTTTGTAAAAGGCTGTTGACAGCTATCCGTAACTGTGACAGTATCACCAAGTTAAAAAAACTAATAACCGGAACTCCCACCCAATACTAGGGCACTTTATTATTGACTTCCTAACATCTAGACCGATCATGAATATAATGAACTCCCATTGCAATTCATGTGTTTTACGGTTTGGCAGAACACACTGTGACGGAAAGAAAACACTAAAAATCCCTCTACAGCATTTAGTTGGACAGCACTCTCATTTATCCGTTTCCTATCCCTGTCATGTATTTTGACCTTTATTCAGATATCTTTTGACCACATTTTGTGTTCTTATGTCTTCCTCGTCCGGGCTTTTATTATGTGACTTTGGTTAAAGACGTAACTTTTGTTGCCTAATTTTTCTGTTGCATGCTGCCGGACTATTGACAGTGAGGTCATGTTTGACTAGGTCTAAGGCCACGGCGTGGTTCAGTGTGTGACTGTTAACCTCTGACCGTCTGCTTGGAAGGATTGCCGGAATCCCTGTAGATAGATATCTAACCCTATCTTGTTGGGAATATTTTTATTGACTCCCAGGTGTTGGACCTTTTTGTATTAACTGTTTCTTTTGTTGGTCAGCACGCTAATTTGTGTTAGAGAAACCCTTGACTGAATAGCACAGACTGTGCATTTTGAGGTGTTTTGTATTTTCGATATAATTTGTTCTCTTTTTTAAATTAGAACCTTTTAAATTGAGCACAGAGTTTGTGTTCTGAGATACTTTAATAGGAGTAACTCAAAAACGATTTGTACGCTATGCAGAAAAACGTAATCTGGTATAATGGAATAAATTCTGGTTCGTTAGTTTTGCGTTCAAATCGAATATTCGCATTTCGGTCGTTACGGTTCTCAAACAGACAGTAGTCACAGGTGCCGAACATAAGATTACCTGGCAAGTGCACTAAGAAGATCACAGAAAGCCTGTTGTCGACTCAAAAAGAAATGCAATCACATGCACCTCTAGATGTACGGCAAGTCCCTTTAGATGCATTTTCATATTGTGGCTCTAATGTTAGTCTGGTAAGTCGACATAGCAAATTAGTTCTAGGATCATCTTAACAGACTTAAAAGAAAGACAGTTGAGAGAAAGGTAATTATTAGAAATAAGAGACTTTGTGGATATACAGAGGAAACAACTACCGTACCTTCGGAGGGAGTTTGGGTCCTTAAAGCATAAAGAGAACATGTGTAGTCAAGTATCTTCTGCCTCCAGTTGTGATGACAAAGAGCAGGATGATGATGGTCAACGTATCTTATTCTTGTTACATCATTGCAAAGGGAAGCCTCGAGAGGCCATAGAGAAGTACATCATGCTTCCGCTGTCGGGTTATCGTAAAGCATGTGATACACTGAGGCGTTTATTTGGTAGAACATACAAAGCCGGAGCTGTGCTGAAAGGTTTGAATGGAGGTTCCAATATAAAAGACAATGACGAAGAAAGTCAATCTAGGTTAGCAATAAAAATGGAAATTATTCTATAGCCTTATAACAAATGGATTAGTCAGCGGACCTCAACTCTGAACAAACTATAGAAATTATAGTAAAAAACTGTCCACGGCGTTACAGATGAAATGGGCTGAAACAGTGGAAAAGGTAATTGCAAACGGTCGAGAGTCTACATTTGCTGACTTCACAGAATATTACTCAGCAGATTCGGGCAGACTGCAACAACTAGTAAACGAGTTGTAAGCAAGATAGCCTGTTTCACACGAAGATTGTCGTTCGTTAAAGTCGTTAGCAAGTCATCATGTGTCATATGCGGAGAAAGTCACATGATTGATAAATGACACCAATACTCCATTCTCTCAGTCAACGATAAGTGGACAAAAGCTAGAGAAAAAGGTTTGTGTTTTTGTTGTCATAGAAGGGTTTGCAGATCAGTAGATTGTAAAGATGGTGTTCCGTGTACTATCGAAGGTTGACGAGATCAGCATCACCCACTGTTGCATAAACTCTTTAGAATTCAGGGGGCTTCGAGTGAGCGACTAAAAGAAAGTCATCGCGGATACGGAGTCACCAATAGAGAGTATTCCTATGGGTCTAATCCCTGTATGCCTTAGAGCTGAAGACAAGGAAGTTATTAGCTATGCCTTCTAGGCAATGGTTCAGATACTACCCTAGTCACGTCAGATACCGTAGGTTTCTTAGGATTATACTCGAAGAGTGCGTTGATCACAATCAAAACATTAAGCGGAAATAAGTCGGCCAGATCGACATCCAAAGACTTCTAAGCCTACACACTATATGTAAACTATTGCATATGTATCGAACAAGCTATCATAGTGAAGGATTTGCCGGTTCACAAACGGAAACCTGTGAGGGATAGTGAAAAGAAATGGCCTATCTAATGGATTTAACTTGGCCAGAGTTAGCAGGCAGCGAAGTTATGCTGCTTATTGGTTGTGACGCGCCCAGAGCTCATCGAGTTCAGGACCAAAGTTTGGGTGGAAGAAAAGCCAGTATTCTATAAGGATACTACTGGGATGGGTCACATTTGTACCAGCCACCATCCCCAGACAGCATGAATGGAACATTGAAGAAGTTCCCCGACCCTAGCTGAAGTTCAAAAGTCTATAGGTAACCTGAAACGAGGAAGAGCAGCTGGTCCAAATGAATTGGTTTCAGATGTCTTTAATTATGGTGGTCCAATTTTAGCTATTAGGTTGACTAATATTTTAGCTAAAATCTGGTATCTGACTGGTCGCAATCACTTATTGTCCCGATATATAAGAAGGGGTCAAAATCATCCTGTGATAACCATAGAGGGATTAGTTTGACTAGCACAGTATCTAAAATACTAGCCTCAATAATTATCGAGCGCCTAACTAAGGCTCGTGAACTGCAAACACAAGAAAATCAGGCTTGCTTCAGACATGGTCGTGTCTGCATCGACCACATACTCATCATTTGTCAGGTTCTAGAACACAGGCATACTTATCAGCACCCGACAATCATAGTTTCTCTTGGCTTAAAAGCAGCATCTGATTCTGTAGACCGAGAGGTTTTGTGATAGTGTCTGCCATTGGAAGGTGTACCTCAGAAGTGCTTAAAACTTGTGAGGTCTATTTACTCGAACACTACAAATCGAGTGAGAGCTTATGGCGAATTCAAGTGGTGTCCGTCAAGACTGTTCACTTTCTCTATTTTTGTTTAACTTCATCATAGACATACTGA